AAGCCAAGGCGGCCAAGGCACAACCAGCCGGTCTTGAAAGAACACTCCTTCAAAACCTCTGAGGACTGTAGGATCCTCAGCGCTCCGAGGAGAGCGACTCTGCCAGGTCCGTTTGGAAGATGTGTGACAGGGGCAGGGCCGGGCAGGCGGTAAGGACGCTACTAGGGGCTCCTGGCCGTACTACTAGGAGCAAGGACACTACAATTGCAGTGACACCAACCTTGCATCGCTCTCTTCGTCGTCTTCGTCCAAATCTTCAGCGATGCTTCTTTGCAAAACGAAGAAACTCCCCATGTGAATGCTGACAAGGCTCTGCTGAACCACCTGGCACTGAGCTCTGTGAAGCCACAAAAGTGTTTCAGGGCGCTTGACACGTGCTTAGTTCAAAAGCGACAAGCCAGGGAGAAACGCTACTAGGGGATCCTGGCCTTACTACTAGGAGCAAGGACGCTACTAGGTGCTCCTGGCATTGCTACTAGGAGCATGGACGCTACTAGGGGCTCCTATGTTGATTCAGACTTCGCTGTCATCAACTCATGTCCTACTCATCTGTTTGGTACCTGGCATATATGTCATGACCCACCCGTCGCCTCATCCTCAATATCCAGGTATTGATAGAGTTGGGAGCGATTCACCTTGTCAAAGACAAAGCTTCACAAGAGACTAGGAACCTTCTTTTGAAAGTGCGCCTGCCGCCACCCAAAACCACAGTTCAACTGCTTTAGAACCTGTGGCCTGTCGACCCTGTTGTAGAGACGCTCTTCATCCCGCTCAGTCGTCAAGTGACCGGAGGCGTGCGGAAGTGACAGTCAAGGGCTTGCACAGGTTGCTGATCCATGGTCCTCAGACGAGTCGACGGAAGGTTTCAGACAAAAAGAACACATCAAAATGACCAGAATCTGGGCTGAAAGTCGGAGCAAAATGAGAATGGCCCAATCAGGTATCGAAATCGATCCTTTCGATGCTTCAGGGTAACTTGGAAACATCGAAACATCGTCCCACAGGTCCAACAAAGACTCCGGAGAGTCAGGGCTGTGACGAGGAAAGGACAATGCAAAGTGATACTGGCGTGTGTGTGTGTGTGTGTGTGTGTGTCCTTTACAAAATCTCACTGTCCCGTGCACTCCTTTCCAGAAGGCCAGGCCAAACAATGCTTCCGGAAGGTTGGCCACATAAGAGACCATACTAGTAGCAACATAGCACAGACCGTTGCATTGACCAAGCCATCGCGGAAAGACATCTGATGACACACATCTATTTGCTGCACACACTCCATGGCGACGAGCCACCCTTGCACTCGCTCGAAGTAGGCGCGGCGTTCCTTGAGTAAGCGATCACGGAAGTCGATCACCTCCGCAGCAGACATTCACATTCTTTGTTCGAAGGATTGTCCTAGGGCATAAGCTCTGACAAAGGGTGTATTTTATATGTACAATGTCTGTTCTTATCTAAATGCGAAGGCGACCCAAAACAGCCTTCTTTTCTGCTCGTCTGTTGCCCCGAGACCCAAAAGACCGAAAGAAGCTGTCCCGAACATCTGGGAACCAAATCAATCCCCCCAAACCTCAGGCGGCCTACCCTGGAAGCGGCCTGCTTAGCTACTACTTTGTTCCTTACTTGCCCCGTTCGTAGCGTCCGATCGCTGTTCGTAGCGATGCCAGGAGCCCCGAACGTAGCTTCTTGTTACTACTAGTAAGGCACTTGTTACTAGAAGCGATGCACTTGTTCCTAGAAGCGTCCTTGTTCCTAGTTCAAAAACAGCTAACTTAAAGGTTCATTTCACGGCCTAGCGGTAGCGCCTGCATGAAGCGTGTCCCAGGATCGGTGCGCGGGTCGAAGCCCAAACGGATGTAGACCTCGACGGCGACCGAAGATCGAACGGCTTTAAATCTGTGCGAACAAAAAAAAAAAGGAGGAGGAAATACAATAAAATAAATGCTTCTTGTTACTACTAGTGAGGCACCTGTTACTACTAGTAAGGCACCTGCTACTACTAGTAAGGCACCTGTGACTACTAGCTTCTTGTTACTAGGAAGAAGGTGAAGATTTGAAAATGATGAAAGCCGCCAAAGCATCTCTTAAAGGACCAGACGATTTCGTGGGGGACGGACATAGATGTCTAGACGCAGCTAAACCCCAAAAAGAACACGTTGGGCCTGTGGGAGTTACGGCCGATGCAGCGTCTTCGCAAGCAAATATTTCAACAATTAATTTCAACGTTTAATGTGTTCTGTTGTTGGGCTTGGTCTTGCAGATAGTGCTGCGCCTGCCGCCAAGGGCCATCTGACCAGAGGTAGCTAACACAAATGAAGCTCTTCTGCATCGTGCTCACCTGCCGGTCTTTGCACTTTACGAATGACAGGAAGGAACGCAGGAAGGAAGAACAAGTGGAAGAATATGGCGGAATAGCTTCTCTTGGAGAATCCAGACCTACAAAATGTCGATAGGACTCCGATTTCTTTCGTGCTTCCTTCCCACACTCCCTTGAAGTCAGTCATCTTGGCATCCCCACGTTGGCACTCAAGCCCATCTCCTTGAGCCGCTCCTCCGCAGGGCCTCGGAGCCACAGCGGCCGCTCTGCGAAGAGCTTCTCCAGCCCGGCGACCTGGCAAAGAGAGACGCGGGTCGCATCGAGATCAACGAGTCATGAGGAGACGAGGAAAAGAAGGCTGTTCGGTGGGCTCTGCTAGTTCGGTTTCTCTCCTATTGGTCCCAGTTTTTCCGTGGGGCGTTCGGTGTGATTTTGAGAATATGACACCACCTAGTTTTCCAGAAGCCTTCCAACATAAACAATGCTTCTTGTTACTACTAGTAAGGCACCTGTTACTACTAGTAAGGTACTTGTTACTACTAGCTTCTTGTTGTTGAATGAGAGTCAGACCTGACTTTCTCGTTCGAGCCGACACGCGAACTTTGTCGTGACTGAAAACCATTTGGCAACATAAAGCAAAAAAAAGACAATGAGTTGGAAACTATGTCCAAAAAAATGATTTGGAACTATGTTCATCCTACAAAGGTTTGGACTAGTTTGGAAAGCATTGTTTTTTTGGTTTGAGCCTCACATATGTTGGGACTAGTTGGAAGAACACGGTTTTTGTGTTTGTTTGGTTTGAGAAATAGGTTTATGAACACTGTTTATAAACAGAACAAATGTTTTTGCACAATGTCTTCTGATGCGGCTAATCATTTGCAGCATTTCAATTGCGAACCCGTAACGCCAACCTTCAGTAGTGCTACCAATACAGCATGTTTGAAGCCGGGACTGACTACAACATGGTATTTTTTGTCTCCCATATTACCTACATATATATATATATATACAGCCTAACATCATATATTTCTTGAAACAAGCGTTCTAATAGACATTGTTTACAACTACAATTACATCCACAACAATAAGGCAGTATATTATCCAGTGAGTGAGGATCAAGGTTAGAATCTCGTTGGCAAGTTGAATTATTCATAACATGTCAACCTTTCATATCAATATGAAATCCACACCCAAAATAATCACACTAATTGTTGACATTATCCAAGAACCACTGAAAATTTACATATCCTTCTTTTGGTACTTTTTTTTGCTGGTTTATCCTGCATTTGGAGTTTTCAATGTGTCCACCACAAAAGCTTATAAGGCATCTTCTAAAGTCATCATTGGCATTCATTTTTGTACCTATAGAATCTTACCTTGTTCAAAAAGGCAGTCCAAACCCATTCAGGATAATGTTCTACAAGAAAATGCCGATAATAAAATATTGAAAAATGTCCACCAATGCTACTACCTTAAGCAGAATGGCAAGTTGAACACCAAGCAAGAATGAAGTTTTTTTCTTACGTTGTCAATCTCTAGTTTTATGAAGCATAGTTGGTTTCACATTCTTCAAGGTAATAGTGTCATTACCAAAATGCAAAATGTGTTTGAAATGCACATGTAAAACACATGTGTTTGATTTGGTATACTCCCTGCATATCAAGAATTGACCTACTTCATATTCATGTTCTTAAGCTTTTCAGTTTCTCAATCTCACTTGATACATGTTTGCAGGACTTATTCAAAAGTGCTATGTTGTATGTTGACGATGTAGTGTCATCAGTATGTCTACCGTAAATTAGTTCTCAATCAGTTTAGTTGTTGGTATGTACAAATATATTGTTCTTGATATTGTTTAGCTTTTGTTCATCCTCTTCTGTGTCCAGTCTCGTGTTTTCGTTCAGCAATATATTATGTTCAAACATATTGTCAATCATTGCATCAGCATAGTGTTTGATCATCTTTGGTATGTGTCGGCTCCTGAACTGGCTTTAGTTGTTTGGTATCACCTGCTGCACAAAAAGGAATTGCTCAACAAACTAGTTGGTTTTCCAATAAACACTCAAACCGATGAAATAGGTTTGATCAAATACTAATGCATCAAATTCTGATAATCAAATGGTTCTATTTTAACATCATCAGCACTTGTACCAAAAATCTTGTTTATTGTCGTGGCCATCACCTTCAAATTCGTGTGATAGCCTATTAATAGGGCATAGAAAAAATACTGTACGTTTGCCTGCTCCTGCAAATAAACTCCTAATCGTTACCTGTGTCTATCATCAGTATCATGCTCATCAATTTGAATTTCTCTACCTTTGTAGTTGGTATGTCTACAATTTGATTGTCTCATTAGGCAGTTCAATATCCGCATGCTTGCTCATTGCTCACTCTCCAGCATCCAATCTTACTGATAAAATCAATAATTCCGAAAATAATTCCCTTGGGTTCTTTTCATCTTCAGCCTTGATGGTGAAAGCATCAATCTTACAACTATATACTGTAATACTAGCATGCTTCAGTTTAAAGTAGGTGTTATACATTGAAAACATGGTGTTGCAAAAGAAGCTCTTTGATATACCTGTATCCATTTTGTATTTGTGCCTTGTCCTTCAAATCTAAAATGTACCGTAACCTGCTTCCTGTTCAGCTTCAACGTTTCAACTGATGAATGCCAACTATGGTGTCCCTCACTTCCTTCAACTTCTGCCCGAGTCACCACGCCTGCATTTGTTCTGTTTTTCCATCTCTCAGGCAGTCTCAGTACTCAATGGTTTCCAAAAAATGCAGCTCATCAGCAGTCTCAATGGATTTCCCATTGCCCGCTGTGGCTCCAAGATCTTCCACTCATTGTGGGTCGCCCGCATGCACCTGTGCCTGGGCCACTGGCTGCACCATACCCGGCAGCGCCATGCCCGCCCCGGGCATACCAAACTGAGTCGGTGCCATTGTAGCCGGGATCCAATGTGGTGCAAATTCTTCGGCCTTCACATTCAGCACAAGGATGAGATTCACACCCGCTTTGGGCCATATGCCACGGCTGCTGTCTCGAGTTGCCTGGACCAAGGCCTGGCCGTACTGGTCATAGGCCATCTGGTCGGGAACCTGCGCCACAACGTCAATAGCCTCCGAAAGCTCTATGGAACAAGATTGACAGGACCAGGATTTGCTGTGTTCCTTGGCTATGTCTGCCAGGCCTGAAATAAAGCCACTACTCCAAGAAGTATAGGCATACCAGGAAACACACAAAGTGCAAATAGCACACGTCATAGCACAGCAAGGCTTCCACGCCCCCGGGCTTTTGCATCCATAGCATCCTTGAGGGCAGACATGAGATCGTTCCACTGTTGCTCTGCACAAGCAGAGGCAAAGCAGGCGTCATAACCGGGGAATTCTTGATTGCCCTTGCTTTCAACGCTCAAGTGGACATAGAGCTCGACGTTTTTGCCACGACTCCTCGCTAAAGGTTTCGTGAAGATTCGGCCGAAATTGCTCTTGTCGCTGGGGTTGGAAAACATGGCTACCGCTACGCAATTACGCACAGCTCGCACCGAAAACGGTCGGGTTGGGTCACTTCGTCTGAGCCGGGCCTTGAGCCAGCACCACACCTGCATACATATTATAAACATGTATATATGTATGTATATGGGGGGCGCTGACATTAGCACTGGCAACTTTAAGTTTAATAGGTCGTGGAACACTCCCCCAGGGGGCCCCTAATCAGCACCCGCCCATTGTGTCAACATGAGGTCTCGCACGGTGTTCTACCCCAACAGTTTTTTGCCGCCCTCCAGGGTTACACAGCTTTTCAGTTCAAGCGGGAAAATCCGTAAGGGCTGGGCAATTTGCTTCTCATCCTCTCGCAAAGAGTCCTGGAAACTCTCCAAATGATGTTTCGGCTTTTTTCGATCCAGCACTTTCAAGTCTTTCCCGACAGTCTAATCATGAGCTACCACGTCGGTGGAACTCATATCCTCAAAGCTGCAAGTCCCACCTTGGCTCCTTCAGGCGGTTTCGTGGGCACCGGCTCTAGTAGCGATGGCCTTTGCTCCTAGTAGCTTTCTTGCTCCTAGTAGTAAGGCCAGGAGCCCCTAGTAGCGTCCTTGGCTCCTTCAGGTGGTTTCGTGGGCGGCTCTTTGTTGTTGAACTTCATGATGTGCACCTAGGCCAGGTGGGAAATCGTTCCGTCGTTCCACTGCAGCGTGGGCTCAGGCAACCAAAAGCGATCAAAGAAACATTGATTGCTCAATTCTTCATGCCTTGCACTTCGGAATATTTTTTGTTTAAACAAATAAGTAGGCTGGTGTTCGTAAAGTACACTGCTCCAGTTCATTCAGCCCACTCCTCGGTAAACCTTTTCAAGGGAAGAAACCTTGCAGTCTTGAGCGAAGTGGGGCTTGGAGTTCACGAAGCGGGTTGGGTCCTTTGAGATGAATTGCAGAGCGACCGCCGTCGTCCTAGGAGTCCCTAGGAGTCAGGGAGTCGCGACCTTCTAGCGATGGCCTCCAGAAACTGAGCTCTCCACCCCAACCCAGTCGCGGTACAGCTTCGCCTCCGAAGTACCCGCAATGGCTTTGACCTCCGAAGTACACTGTCCCCAGGCGGCTGCAAGCGGCCGCAAGCGTTCTCGGAGGTTTGTTCCTAGTAGCATCCTTGCTTCCAGTAGCGATGCCAGGAGCTACTAGTAGCTTTTTGTTCTTAGTAACTTAGTAGTAATGTTGGATCTTGATTAGTAATAGGGTCCTCTATAATGCTAAATTTTGGAAAAGTAATTCTTGACACCCTGTTTGTTTTGAGGGTCCTCTATTCTGCTAATTTTCTTTGGGATCCTTATTTTTTATTATCTGAAAAATATTTAGGGTTAAGTATATTTCCTTTAGGAAAATAGAAACATTAATTCTTAATACTACTAAGCCAATGGTTGGATTTCTGAGAGTATTGATAAGTATAGGTGTCCATAGTTCTTCTTCAAATCTGACAGCTTCCCAAAACCATCAATTCCCTAATCAATCCTTTATGAAAAGATTGCTCCTAAACAAGTTTTCAAGGTAGTAGACCAGGAAGGCCCGTGCTCCTCAATAATGAATTTGTTTTAAGGGTCCTCAACTGTGCAAAGTTTCTTCCTGATGAAAAATAAAAATAGTAACTATTAATACTACTAAGCCAATGGTTGGCTTGCTGAGGGTATTGATAAGTATAGGTTTCTATAGTTCTTCTGCAAAACTGACAGCTTCCCAAAACCATCAATTCCCCAATCAATCCTTTATGAAAAGATTGCTCCTAAACAAGTTTTCAAGGTAGTAGACCAGGAAGGCCCGTGATCCTCAATAATGAAATTGTTTCAAGGGTCCTCAATTGTGCAAAGTTTTTTCCTGATAAAAAATGAAACATAGTAATTCTTAATACTGCTAAGCCAATGGTTGGCTTGCTGAGGGTATTGATAAGTATAGGCTTCTATAGTTCTTCTTCAAAATTGACAGCTTCTATTACTACTACTGCTGCTACTACTACTACTACTGCTGCTACTACTGCTACTCCTACTCCTACTCCTACTACTACTACTACTCCTGCTGCCGCTGCTGCTGCTACTGCTGCTACTCCTACTACTACTACTGCTGCTACTACTACTACTGCTACAACTACAACAACTACTACTACTGCTACTGCTACTGCTACTCCTACTACTACTACTACTACTACTACTACTACTGCTACCACTACCACAACCACAACTACTACTACAGCTACTACTACTACTACTACTACTACTACTACTACAGCAGCTACTACTACTACAACTACAACTACAACTACTATTACTACTACTGCTACAACTACTACTACTGCTACAACCACAACCACAACCACAACCACAACCACAACTACTACTACTACTACTACCACTACTACTACTACTACTACTACTACTACTACTACTACTACTACTACTACTACTACAAAGAGAGAAAGGAAAATGAATACTACAATCAATTATAAAAGGAATCCTCCTAGGGACCCAGATTTGTTTTAGTGGTAGTTCTTTTTATAGAGGCTCCCCCATTTGTTTGAGGGGGGGGGTCCCTTTTACTAATCAAGATCCATCATTAATGCCAGGAGCTACTAGTAGCTTCTTGTTCCTAGTAGTAATGCCCTTGTTCCTAGTAGCTTCTTGAGCCAAAGGATGACAATTATCTGAAACAAAAATGATTTTTTTATTTTGGCCACGCGCCAGGCCTCCGGATTCCGCTGCCGCTTTAGGAAGGAGTTCTCCTAGAGAACAAACATCGAGCCCATGATATCGGCCCCGTTCGGCTTTCCGTCTTTCCTTCCTTTGCACGTGTTCAATAAAATGTCAAGTACAAACTGGACATGGAAGAAGAAAACCACCATATTCCAATCGACCTCGAAGTCATAGGCTTGTGGCGTGTCGACCCTGCACAGCGACACACTGCGATTGAGTCATTTTCTCGTCAAACTCTTTTGCGTAGAAAGTATAGGCAATAGTTCTGGCAAACCGCTCATTCTGCATACAAAAACATCGGCAAGCAGCCGGAGACAAGGCAGAACGTAGGCAGGGCAGAAGGTGTCGCTTCTGCGTGTGAAGGCAGGGCATAGGGCCATAGGGTCGGTCAGTGGGAGCGTGGCACTTGTTACTACTAGCTTCTTGTTACTACTAGTAAGGCACGTGTTACTACTAGCGTGGCACTTGTTCCTAGTAGCTTCTTGTTACTACTAGCTTCTTGTTACTACTAGTAAGGCACCTGTTACTACTAGCGTGGCACTTGTTCCTAGTAGCTTCTTGTTACTACTAGCTTCTTGTTACTACTAGTAAGGCACCTGTTACTACTAGCGTGGCACTTGTTACTACTAGCTGAGATTCAAACACTGAAGGGGTGCAAAAAGCACTTCAACAAGCTTGTGAAAATGAGCTTCAAAAGCTGCTCAGACTGTCTCGTGCCTTGTGAAGTATGCCGGGGGCATGTAAGGAGCACCTGAAACGCCTTCGCCGCTGATCTCCTGAGGTGCAAATGGTATCTATATAGATCAGTTTCACCACCAAATTGTTGTGTTTTTGTTTTACCTCTGATTTGGGACCTCTGGGACAGCTGAGTATGCACCGATGAGAGGTTTCTTGGGCCAAAGCCCTCACTCACACCCCAATCGAAGATTACAAATTCAGCTTGCAGACTGCTGATCTTCTTCAATTGGTGTCGCTTCCTGACTCGGATGATGTCTCAATCATTGGAGCATGGCTCATAGCCGGCTCTGGCTTTGTGCAACTAGGTGGCCTGACAGGTCACCCTCATCCTGAACTGTTCTCACAGAAGTGTTCCCAGTTCTCGCCATCTCTTAGGAATTAAGCTACTAGGAACAAGTGCATCGCTTCTAGTAACAAGTGCCGAGTGCCTTACTAGTAGTAACAAGAAGCTATTAGTTAACTTATTTCAATTTTAAGAAGTGTTACTACTAGTAAGGCACTTGTTACTACTAGCGAGGCACTTGTTACTAGTAGTAACAAGAAGCTACTAGAAGCTAGAAGCTTGTAATGATATTTCTTGCGTCCTCACAAAGCGAACGAGTGAGTGAAGCTCCTGTTCGATGGACCCGATGATGGAGTGTTCTCCGTGCTTCAGCTCCGAGCCCGGCACAAAGAGAAAGTCGGCCAGGACCTCCATACTAGTGACAAAGGCATCGCTACTAGTAACAAGGCGCCCTACTACTAGTAACAAGGCGCCCTACTACTAGTAGCTTCTTGCTACTAGTAGTAAAGATCTCGAAAGGCCTCATTCCTGCAATCAGAGGTTTGGTTCATGGCAAAACACCCTGCAATCACAAACAAGCACTAAGGCAATAAGTCACTAGTTGAGGGACATTTCCCTTTCTGGGATCCAAGGCAAAAGCCCCTGAACTGTGAAGAAGCCTGGCGCTCAAGCGGATTAAGGCACTTTTGCTTCCCTTTGTCAAGATGTGCCCATGGCATTCTGTCATATGAAGCACATCCTGAAAAGACCTGGTGAGACGATGTGACATTGAGACGAAAGTCAGCGCGAGAAGCCTAATTGTTACACACCTCCGTCAGAAGAATCCCTTTATGTTTCTACTGTTCTATTCTTCATGAGGAACAAATTACCCCCCGTGGCCCTTGAGTATAGCAATGAAGCCCCCCTTTTTTGAACTGGAGCGTTGGAAAGAAATTGCAGGAATCTCAAAACCCTGGACACAAAATTCCTGCAAATCATTGCGCGTTCCCTACATCAGGTGGGCATTATTGCATGGCAAACGACCTTGAACCTCCACCGCCGTGCGAGAAACGAAGCCCTTCTGGCAGAGGTGGGAATCCGGCGCCGGTCTCAGCAAAAGCTATCCCAACCTGGCAGGGCCAAGATCAAGATCGGATGACAAACCCTCCCCAAATGGCGGCGCAAGAATGTACTTTCAAGAAGTCACCATGTATGCAGTGCATACCAAAGAGGAAGTATCATTGAAAAGGATGTCCAAAATACACAAACCGAATCGTTCATTCAGTACTGCCGGTGTCTTACGATCTCACGTATTACGTGTCTGCCGGTCTACCGAAGGAGCTCAACGAGGCGATCGTTTACGAG